AGTGGAATATATCTCTTCAATTCTATCAAATACCGTGCGCGCATACATACACATATATATGTTAGAAAAGATACACCCATTATATTCGAGTGCTTTGGCATATCTTTTGTGGGTTAGATCGTATACAAAATTTAGGATTTGTATCCATCTTAAATGTTATTATCACAATACATAATGAATCTCTTGTGTTTATGTGTTCAAAGGTCTCCAAGCAAATATATTTGTACATGCACAAAAGAAATTGTTATGTCGTAGGAAGGGGAACGCGACAATTAAATTTTGTTATGTTTTTGTATGGGAAAGCATAAAAAGTCGTTAAAAAGTTGAATTCAAAGTCAATAATTTATTTTAATCACACATTTTACAGGACTCGTAATTTTTATCAACTTTTCAACCATACATTTCACTGACTTTTATCAAAAATTTTGTCAAACGACCCCCCTGTAGGTTTCTTTCTTAGTTCTATCTATTTGGGAATATGTGATACGAGTTTTGTCCATCCTACCATGTAGTGTGCTAATTGTAACTTAGTAGCCCATTTTATAGCTCCGCTCAACAGTCGACAGAATCTTGGCAAATGTTACATACTTCTATATATTCCCAATAGTTGACTTATAACCCTAAGAATATATGTACAAAGGTAAACTGAGGAAGCACGTGGTTCCATGTAAAAAATGTTGGATAACTGAACATTTTGTAAACTACCAATTATGATGTAGATTAAAAATAAATTAAAATTTTAAGTTAATTTTAAATGCATATTTCAAAGGATCCACAACTTTTCAACAATACATTTTATCGACTTTCATCGAAATTTATTAAAAAACTGATTTTAATCTATACCAAATAAGCATAGTATCATTCAAAAAAAAAAAATTTTATAAAATTTTAGAAAAAATAAATAAATGGTGATTTTCCTAATAAGCATTTTTGGTTTTTTTTTTTTTTTGACAATAACAATCAACGTCTTTAACTAACTTGAATCGCCGTGAATTGTGGATAAAAAAAAAAGGAATATAACCACGCTAAAGTAGTGAAAGAGGCAAACTCGTGGATCTCTTTACTTACATGTCTACAAATAAAGAGAGAAGGGGAATGACAAAACTATATTATTAGATAAAGTAGAAGAATGAGGTGCAAAAGTAAAATCAATGTGTAGACTTTGAACCACTCGCAAACAGTCGCATTCAACCTCAACTACTTGCATGGCATTTTCCTTAGCCAAAATATAGCCAAAATCGAGCCCTCCCTCTGAGCTATGACTTCCATCACTTCCAAAGAAACCACCCCCAAAATGATCCCGAACGACTACTTCTATGAGGTTTGAGCTTTAGGGCTGGACTTCTATTTGCCAAACGCTAAAATTATCGAATATCAACTACAGAGTGCGATGCGCAACAATAGGTAAACAATGTCGAAATGTTCTCGTCTTATATGTCCAACTACAAAAGACATTGCGACAGACTTATGAGATGTTGAATGTGATTCTTGTCGATTTATCCCTTGAAAGGGAATAATGTAGCCCACCATCTATTTTCACATGCTATCTTGTCCCCAGCTAGTCCAAGTTGGGTTGATGGTATTCCAGGCTTTTATTGCGTGGTTCATCTATGCGATATGATTAAATTGAATACCTTTGCTTTCAAAATAGAAAAATAATGGTTTTGCCCGAGTTTTTTCCAACACTTAGAATTATGCGCCGATGATAAATAATATAAGAAATAACTATTTGTCCTTATATACCAACACAATTGATTATAAAAATGGCCATCCTAAAATGTTAAAAGCCTAATAGCATTCTCAATGCATTATGTGAATATCATCTAGTGGCATGTAAATAGAAATACTTCTTATAATCTTATCGATGTGGAACAATTTCGAATGAATTTAATAACTAAAATTTCATTTTTAATATATATTTTATATATTTCATAGGATAGATAAAAATAATAAGCATGAGAGAAAAATAGGAAATAGGAGAGAGAGAGGAAAAAAGCTTAAAATTTTGTTGATTATCTAATAGGGATTATTCTTGGTGTGTTTTGAATTTTTTATGAGGTGGGTTCCACATGGGGGCCCACCGTCCTGGAGGGGTTCTGTGAAACCCCTCCTGTGCACCAAGAATAATACATCTAATAGAGTCAGTCGACCCTCTTTGCAATGACTATTTTACTTATATAACAGTATTTTTTATGCAATTCACAATAACATCACACAAGTTCAAATTTTGGCAACGAAATTTGCAACCTTAAAATTTTGTAATTGATTACAAACATTTGAAACCTTCTACTAAATAAAATGGGTATTGTTTCGTAACGGTGCTTAACGGCCATTTTAGCAAACTTGCGAACATGTTGGAAATATTTAAGGAAAAAAAAAAATAGAATCTTTCTAAAGACCAACCTAGAATCAAATTCTATAGTATTTTATGCTCTCATTTACTTTCATTAATCATCCATTGTACTTTTAAAAGTACAATTTTCATATGAAAACCATACTTGTGTCCTATTTAATTAATTATTGCTTGTTCTCTCAGCCAACGAAAATGCTATGCCAATAAATTATAGCAAAAAGCTTATAAAAAATAATGAATAAAAACAAGCAGTCGAATAATTGAGAATTGAGGAGTCAACCACGAAATTAATAGAGTATAGTGTCTATTGTATTTTGCAATAGAAGTGGGAAGATCTTTTATTTGAAGAAAGAATAGTTTGGTACATGTAGAAAAAGTAAGTGAAAAGGTTGCAAAAGTGAACAAAGAGGTGAAAACAAAGGAGCATATCAAATCAAACAACTTTTTCAAGGAGCCCCCACCCCCCTCTCTCTTCACCTCAGCGTGTGTAATAAATTAATGGGTAAGAGATTTTCAAGGATGTTAAGTGGGATGATTCCGAAATGAACAGTGATTTGATCAAGTTCATCGGCTTGCACGAGCGGATTCGCTCGTGAGCTTTTGTTCGAGGCAATTTGTCAACTGCTCGCGAACGACTCGTCAAATTGAGAAAAATATATAATTTCAACAAAAAATTAAAAAATAAAAATAATCGTAACTTGTGAGCTGGCTCGACTTGCCCCATCAAGGGACGAGCTAACGGAGCAGATCGAGTTGCACTTTTTTTTTTTTAAAGCGAGTTAAAGTGTTCGGTTCGTCCCATTAATAATATTCATAGATTTAAACCCTCTAGATGGTAGGGTGGATGGGGGGAGAAAGTGTATCTCTCTCTCACTTTGTGCGTGTAAGTAGGTGAAAGATATAAAGCCCTTTGATTGGCGGGAGTTGGAGTGGGGTGGGTCCACCATGAGTGCGACTAAATCCCTCCGAGTGATGATAAAATAGTATACGTGTGGTGTTGGGTGCGGTGACTTCCTTTCGCATGTCACATTCAACCTTTACGCATTGAAGCGACATTCTGTCTTTCCTCTGCGTGGCGCGTGCTAACTTACGCGTGCAACTTGCACATTTTCACCCTCATTTTTTTGTCACAATTATTTTTTATACAAGATTTCTCTATTCCTTTGTCACAAATTTTTTTTGCAAGTGCAGATATTTTTATTTTTTTTTTGGCCCTTTTTGACAAACAATACTTGATGTGACACCATTGAAAGATGAAAAAAAGACTAATCATGTTGGGCTACATTAGCGTGGATATGAATTCTATTAAAATTTTCCTACACTTGGAACTTTATTGTTTATTAGGGTCCGTTTGATAGGTAAATAAAAACTCATCAAACCCGTAGGAATTCGTTTTCCATGAAAAAAAAAATACAGTTTAAAGTGGTCGTATCTTGGAATTCGATTTCCATTTACACGTTGTAATCAAAAGGTCAAAGTGAAATTCGTTTTCCTCGAATGTTACATTTTTCACGAAAAATGTGGCAATCAAACATGACTTTATTTCTATTAATTATTTTCTTAATACTCTCCACTCTAAATCCTTGTTTGATAGAAATTAAAATTAAAATTTTATTCTAAATCAAAGTCAAAAATTAATTTTAATCACACATTTCATCAATTTTTATCAAAATTTATTAAAAATTTAATTTTAATCTCCATCAAATAGGGGCTAATATTTTTGTACATAGTATATCAATTTTTATTAACAAATGAAAAAAATAAAAATCATTTTAAAAGTGAAGTCCTTATAATTTGTAAAATTAGTCGATGTGTCAAAAACTTAACATGAAGATAGCTAAGCAAGGATATAAATTCTCAACTCGTTTTGTTAATGATAATGGAATGAAATTGAAGTGCTTGCTCGGTCACAGATCACTCTTTTAAGTGTTCATCAGTATAAACCATACGAAATGTGGAGATAATACGCGAATATGTAAATCGTAACTCTTAAATAAATATATAAATAAAAACTAACTTTAAAAATTTAAATTTTACCAAACATGCATTCAATCACCAAGGTTGGGCTAACTGTTTCTCAGTTTACACTCCAAAAATAGATCATAACACAAGCAGGCAGATAGTGACTTGAAAGCCCCTTTGTTACCCCACTCAAAGTAAGTGGACATGGCATCTCTCTCCCTACTCTCCAACCTGCAAAGTACTCTGTGTGTGTGTGTGAGAGAGAGAGAGAGAGACTTGATTATGCCAGATCTCAAATGCACATACAGAATCTATACTCACCATCCATTCAGCGTTCTCTCCAAAATACCTTGGACCCCACGAATAAGTCGCACATCCAAAATCCACCACCACCAACGGTGTAGTAAGCAACTAATAGCAGTGTCAATCCACCAACAATTAACACCCCTACCCACCACCCCACCTTTCCTTAATAAATAATTGAAAAGCCCAAATCATTCAAAAAGCCCCTTCTCAACCTTTGATGACAATAATGTTAAAAGAATATGGTCACTGTAATAAGCTATCAAATACTTGATAACAACGTCGTACACTGTTATACATTACTTGGTTGGTTTACTTGATTAATTATCGCCCTTTTGACGTCCAATATTAGTGTTATCCTTCCGGCCCAAGATTATCCGGCATGCCGACGCCGGTTAGTGCAGCCAGGGCATGCTTAACACAGGAGGCGGTGGCCACCCTCGACGAGGCTGTGGCGGTGGCGCGACGCCGAGGGCACGCGCAGACGACGTCGCTACACATGGTGTCGTCCCTCTTATCCATCCCCAATTCATCCTTACGTGAAGCATGCACCAGAACACGCAACAACGCATACTCCACTCGATTGCAGCTAAAGGCTCTTGAGCTTTCACTGAGCGTGTCTTTGGACCGACTGCCTTCTTCACGAACGAACAAAGTTGAGGAGCCACCAGTATCGAATTCTCTCATGGCTGCTATAAAAAGATCGCAAGCGAATCAAAGAAGGCAGCCTGAAAACTTCAGCTTCTATCAGCAGCAGTATTCTTCGTGTTCTTCTGTTCCAGTGGTGAAAGTTGAGCTCCGGAATTTGATTATATCAATTCTTGATGACCCTTTGGTTAGTAGAGTTCTCGGCGAGGCGGGGTTTCGGAGTTGTGATATAAAGATAGCTACACTTAGGCCAGTTAACAGTTTTCATGGCCACCATCTGTTTGGTTATTCATCTAGGTACAAACGGCCACAACCACCTTTGTTTTTATGTAATTTTAACAGTAGTGATAGTACGAGCGAGGTAAGTATGACTAGTAAAGGTTTCACCTTTCCTTTTATGGGTGGTTTTCCTGGGGAAGAGAATTCGAGGAGAATTGGAGAGATCATGGTCAAGGATAAGAAAAAGAATCCACTGCTTTTGGGGGTTTCTGCTAGTGACGCTTTAAGGAGTTTCTTGGAAACTGTGCAAAAAAAAGGTGAAGGTGTTTTGCCTACGAGATTAATTGAGTTGAATGTGATTTGTGTTGAAGCTGAGATTTCGAGGTTTGTGAATGGGGATTGTGATGAGGAACTAATAAAATTGAGATTCGAGGAGGTCGAAAAACTAGTGCAGAATAGTGTAGGAAGTGGGGTGGTGGTAAATTTTGGTGATCTGAAGGCAATGGGTGAAGAGAGTGTTTGTGTTGATGCTTTAAGGTACGTGGTGTGTGAATTGGGGAGGCTGCTGCAGATTCATGCTGGGAAATTGTGGTTAATTGGAGCAGCAGCATCATATGAGATTTATTACAGATTTTTGAACAGAAATCCCTCCATTGAGAAGGATTGGGATTTAGAAATTTTGCCTATTACTTCACTTAGATTTTCCACTGAAGGGTCTTTCCCCAGATCCAGGTAAGTTTCAATTATACAGTTCTTGTATTAGTCTAGTGTTATTAATGTTATTTTTTTTCCCCCTTGCGTTAGGTTGTAGTTTCCATTAGGATTACACTCTTCCATTATGTGTACCTAAGAATTGTGGACCAGCTTGGTAGTTAGCTAATTCTTGCTTTCAGATTGTGTATTTTACTTTATTTCTAATTCAAGATTGCTATATCGGTCATTGTTAGCGGAAGAAAATCATTAGCCTTATAAAGATCACAAATTTTTCTACACGTGCTATATGTGACGTTAGTTGTTTCTTTGAATGTGTTGTTAATAATTGGTACATATTTTTGTTGAATCCTTGGCTCGAATTTGGGTATCACTTGATGTGATTCATTGATATGAGATGAGGATATTCAAATTGATTTTTGTTACCTCTAAATCACCCTATCCTCTTCCCCAGTTGATTAAAAAAAAAAATTTGAACTGAATTAAAGTGTCTTTCTAATGGTTAAAACTTTTATGTTCTTGGAGATTGGCAGATTGTGGGCCTTTGTCTATGGTGTGTCATAGATAGTTCATAGATCTTACATACTACGTAATATATTACCATTTGGCCAATGATTTATTATGAACTGCATCAAGCTTAAACATCAGTGCAAAGCAAATTATGGCCAGGCAAACCTTTTGATAAAGTTTTAGCAGATTTTGTTAGAAGTTGATGAAATTTGTTGTTGAAAAGTTGTGGTTCCCATGAGATGTGTGATTAAAATTGAAGTTTGACCTAATAAGACAAGGTGTTAATCAACGTATCTTGAAAAGATTTTATGCTTTATGTGGTTGAACATGTTTCAAAATAGTCCTACTTTGATTTAAACATACTTGTGTAGAAAAATTCCAGTTAATTTGTAAGTATTTTCCCCGGTTGCCAAAATTACGAGTATCTTCACCCTAACCTTGTTCAGACTGATTTTCCTTGATTTGTTAGAAACTTATCAGACTAATGACAGAATTGATCTCGACTGCTCAATGTTGTTAACTAGCGTTTCATATGCCTTCCTCACCATCCCATTATTAGGTTTTGCTGCACTTTGCCAGTCTTGACACCTAATGTTAAAGTTAATTATTTTTTTCTTTTCTGATATCATTGTCAAAATTTTTGATTTTAGACACTCATAGTATGTTTCTATCGACTGAATTTGTTCCATACTTACGGGTTCTTTGCCACTAGAAACACTGTTAAGATATTTTAGAGTCACCACGCATTAGCATCAGGAAGATGGTAAATTTGCTCAGTTCAGGTACCAAGTTGTATAATGTCTAAATTCATGTGTATCTTTAATCTAATTTGGCGTTCTATTGTTGACATTCTTCATTTTCTTTTTTTTTTTTTTTGTATATGGGATGCCAAGCCTTATTACCTTCCTCTGTTCGTTTGGCTTCCAATCATGACGTGTTTATTGGATTTGACAGTTGTATGCTAATGATATCTTGCAGCTTGATGGAGTCTTTTGTTCCATTGGGTGGGTTCTTTTCTACACCGACAGACATGAAAAGCCCGTTTAGCAGCTCATACCTCAATGTAGTCCGCTGTCATCTGTGCAATGAGAAGTGTGAACAAGAAGTGACTGCGCTTTCAAATGGAGGAGTTACCGATTTATCTACAGAAAAAAATCACTCTAGTTTGCCTTCTTGGATGCAGATGACAGAAAATGGCGCGCTCAATGGTGTGGCTCCGTTGAAGGTGTGTGTCACTTTGAAAATATCTTTGACCTTTATATCCTATATTGACAAATAGCAGTGACTTTTTGGTTATCCCTCATCACTGGGATGAGCTCATGCTGCTAGAAGAACGCATGGGGTGAAATTCAAAGAAGTGAGAAAAAAATAGAAAAGAAATTAAACTTTGTATGTTTTTGTGGATGTCGTTTCGCATCCTCACAATTGTATGCGTGTACATTCTCTTCGTTTTTATTATGAAGAATTTAAGTTTTCCACTTGTGCTAACAATTATTTTTAGTATCAATGATGCCATGTACTATTCAGTAGCGTGGATTTAGTTCTTCTATCTTAGGCATTGAGTGGTAGGATTTTGTATTTTTGTTCCTGCAAAATAAGTGGCTGTTTTCTTCAGTGCAGGTCAAAGATGATGGTATGTTACTAAGTGCGAAAATTGCTGGGGTACAGAGGAAATGGGATGGTATCTGTAAGCACCATCACTATAATCAACCTCTCCCCAAAATGAATAGCCATCAATTGACTTTCCAATTTCCATGTGTTCCGGGTACTCAAGTTGCCGAGAAAAGGAAAGGGAATGCCAGTAATGACAGCAGCAACCATACATTTGCATCATCGACTGAATGTGGAAGCAAGAATAAAGTTCAATTCTTGTCAACAGATTTAGAACAGATTTCTTCATTGAAAACACATAGTCCATTGGATGTGCTTTCAGAGGCCGAGAATCGGAAAATTTCGTCCAAATCTTATGAAAAGCCTTCGGCAGTTGAAGATGAGTCAGCCATCCTCAAACCAAATCCTTTGAAGTCTTCGAGTGCTAGCATCAATAATGGTCATACATCTCCAACTTCAACAACCTCAGTGACTCGAGGTTTGAGTCTGCATATGCTTTCTGCTTCTACAGGCAGGGAACCAGGGAAACCGGTGGATCAATGTCGTGTGGGTCGTACTAAAGAATTTTCAGGCAGCTTGTCAACAGATGCCGACACTTTCAGTGGAATTATCTCAAACCACCCCACTCATTCCTCCTCCTGTTTCTTTAATTCAAAAGATCCTAAGATGCTTTACAAAGCTCTAGTTGAAAGAGTTGGTCAGCAGGAAGAAGCTATTAGGATGGTAGTTGAAACAATAGTTCAACGTCAAACAAAAATTGCAGGCCGTCGTGGAGACTTGTGGTTTAATTTCCAAGGTCCTGATAGGCTGGGTAAGAAAAGACTTGTTGTGGCTCTATGTGAAATATTATATGGAAGCACAGAAAGTCTTGTTTGTGTGGATCTAAGTTTCAAGGAGGCGATGTCCCATACAGACACACTATTCAAACTCCAAGGAATGAATACATATGATGTAACAATCCGAGGGAAAACTATTATCGATTATTTAGCAGAAAATCTCAGCAAGAAACCATCTGTCGTCTTCCTTGAAAATATTGACAAGGCAGATCCAGTCGTCCAAAATAAATTGTCTCATGCTGTTAGTACTGGTAGATTCTCAGACTTGCAAGGAAGAGAAGTAAATGTAAGAAATTCCCTCTTTGTGACAACTACAAGGTTCATGGAAGGTGGACAAATCTTTTCCAGTAGCCAGGAGACAACTAAATACTCGGAGGAAAATATATTGAGAGCAAAGGGCTGGCCAATTCGGATGTTGATAGGAATTGATCTCAATGATGATCTAACGAGCCAAAATGCAACTGATAAAGGATTCTCTAGCCCGATTTTGATGAGCAAAAGAAAGCTTATTGGTACTGATGGAAGTACCGCCCCATGTGGAGGCTTGGAGACGACAAAACGAGTTCACAAAGCATCAAACTCGTTTCTGGACTTGAACCTTCCTGCTGAAGAAAGCGAAATATGGGACACTTGCTCCGCAGACCTTGATTGTGATTCCATCTCCGAAAACTCCAGGTCATGGCTCGAGGACTTCATTCAACAAATTGATAAAATGGTAGTCTTCAAGCCTTTTGATTTTGATGGACTCGCTGATAAAATACTTGCGGACATGAAAGAGTGCTTGTGCAAAGTCGTTGGCACAGACTGTTTGTTAGAGACAGAACCAGAGGTAATCGAGCAACTTCTCGCAGCCACATATCTAAAAGGCTGCGAGAAAGTTGAAGAGTGGATACAACATGTTCTTAAGCAGGGATTCATAGCTGCTCGTAAAAAGTTTAACCATAATGCTTGCTCTGTTGTGAAACTTGTCTCTTACAAAGGCATTTCCCCGGAAGAAACACCACAAATTCTCCTTCCTGCTAGAATTATGACGAACTGATTTCTCATATTGAGTTTCTCTGTAATTACATGTATAACGTAATGTTTTTAGCATCTAATTAGCTCTTTTTAGCCCGTTGATCCCATTAAATATTGGGTTTTTTGCAGGCTTGTACCATGTAATTTAGACTTCTAGGACTCGCACCTTTTTTTCCTTCTCTTTAGCTGGTTCTTGATGCACGAGTATTTGGTTGTAAAATTATGTACATGTAGCTTAAATTTATGTGTTTTGAGTAATAGTAATAAAATTAAGCCACATTTATTTGCTTTCTGGTCTGAAATAGAAGTAGTTCATCAACGGTGAATTAAGCAACATCCTCTTCGGTCGCGATTGTATGCACGAGCTTGAGTAGCTTCTCCACATTGGCTCTTAATACTCGGCTGGATGCTGATGTTAAAAATACTTCAAATGAGGGATGAAATACCAATATAGGAGATGGAGAAACTTTTGGTGTTGATGTAGCTTTGCTGGAGGCTAGTAGAAGAGAAACGAATAGACAGACCAATTTCGGGCTTACAGCTGAAAATATTAGTGGAAATGCTGAGTTTTACCAGGAGGAATACCTCTGATTATTGAGTCAATACCAGGAGGAATACCTCTGAGTACGTGACGTGACATCTGTTGCATCACTGTTATAAAAATGCAATCAGTATGCTCGGCTAAAAAAAATCGAACCTAATGTTCCTATCACATTTGAAATTTGTTTTTATAAGAACGCACTTTGACGGACAAGTACGTAACATCTGTTGAATATCTATGTTATAAAAATGCGATCAGTATGTTCGACTGCAAAAAATTGAATCCAGAAACCGTTTCAATTATATGCTAAAGTAAAAGTTTTGTGAAGAAGTGATTCGGCATTATGAATATATTTGACATCACATAAGCTAATTCTTTGTTTACTTATTTATATCGATGAAAATTAATTTATATTTATAAATTTTATGGTGTGTTGTATATGTATATAATTTAACCTTCATTTCGAGTACAATTAAATCATTGACATTGAGTTTTTTTTTTTTTTTCCTTCATTTATTTTAGAGTCCGAGTTTAAAAATTTTGTAAAAAGATTTAAATGGTTTCTATATTTTGAGAGAAATAAAAATATGAAGCCAAATTGACTAAACCCCCGTTTGTTTCTGATTAAAATCTAATTTTAATCTCAAGTCAAATCAACAATTAATTTTAACAACACATTTCATGGGGTCCACAACTTTTCAACTGCACATTTCATCATTTTTTATCAAAATTTACTATAAATCTGATTTTAATCTACAACAAATAGGGGCTAAGTATGTAATTAATGAAAGATCATTTCACTCCACAATCTAGTCTTGAGTTTAGTGCTTGCTTGGGATAGCTCAATTTTTCACCAACTCATTTTTGGGTAATATTTAGACCCAAATATGCGGAATTAATCAATAACAAACAAATTAGCCTGCCCAACCGTATCTAAATAATTTTTAAAATTTTTTGTATTGAATTAATTAAATTATTTTATTTTTTTTAAAAACAAATTAACAAATTAATTAATTTAGTGATTAATACTTCAACTCCCAAACCAAGTTCATACCTAGCTAGCCTGCCCAACCTAATCTCTAAATTCAATTTTTTAGCCTAATTATTAATTTCATTGTTAGCCTTTACTGTAGACAATGAAAATACAAATGATACACCGATCATTTATGTGAAAAACAAGTTGAAGAATTGGAAAACTGACGATACTATGATTTTATGTAGCTCTTATCAGCATGTATGTTGTTCAACACACATAGTCAATTTGACTGTTAAAGAATGGTTGAAAGAGTTTAATCCAACTATGGAAAGTCTTCGCAATGCGGTCAAATATTTTCGATCATCTCATTCCCTGTTGATAAAATTTAAATGTTGTATTGAAAGGGAAAAGATTGTATGCAAAAAACTTGTTATTTTAGATGTTCCTACTAGATGGAATTCAACATTATTAATGTTAGATAGTGCATTTAATTTGTAAAAGCTACAAATGAATATGTCATTAATTATATTTATGGAGTATTGTTGTAAATATTTAAAAAATTTAATTATGATACGAAACTGAACAAAACCGACCGAACCTGAACTGTTCCATAATTATATTTGGACCCGACAGTTCCATTAATTAAATACCCGAAAATTTTGGTACGTTTCGATCGTGAAGAGAATCGAAAGAATCGAACAGAACCGGACCATGTCCAACCCTACTTTTTCTTCTAAATTTATTAATAAAACATTGGGAAATGACGACTATATCATTCGGTTCTTTTGCTCTCTGCTCTTCCAGCTTTTCCCACATTTCAGTTGCTGCTTTCATTTTAATCTGTGCACTGTCAAAAAGTTCAATAGTTTCGGCAGGATCCCATTTCGATAGATCTTCTTTCTTGGCCAATACTAAGAACCAATGAAGTTTTTGCCACTTCTTACAACACTACTGCTCAAAAATTGTATCTTTAAGTATATAAATGTATGTGTTTCGCGCAGTTATTCGCTAACAATTAAAAAGGGATCAGACGATTGTGTAAGGGACAAACCTCTTGGAATAAAGTCTCAAAAAGTGGTGTTTATCGAATATGAAGATTACAGTTTGGACACGAACAAGATGCCTCCAAGGGGCGCAAGCACACAAGTACAAGGAAATTGAAGTAATTAAAACTAATCTAAGGAAAAGTAAATTACATATTCTCTGTTTGAAAGTGAATTTTGTCGGGGGCTTCTTCATTGTTTTCCTCTTCCTTTTATACTCCTT